ATTATAGAAGAAATAATAGAATATTTCCCAGAGCCAAAAAAAGACAAAAGTCTTAAGACTAAAACATCCCAGACCATAGCCTCATGTAATTTCAGAACATTAAGGAAAACAGAAAATTCTAAAAATTTTAGAGACAGAATAAAATACTTGGAATAAAAATCTATCTGGCATCAGACTTCTTAAGATAGGAGATCCAAGAAAACACAGAACTAATCTAGAAATGTGATTAAACGAAATACCAGGATTACAGCTGTGCAAGTACAGTAAGTACAAGTTAGAATAGGCAGTCAAAGAGAAGCGAAAAAAAAGAAAATTTTAGGAAGAAAAAATGTATGTATTATTGCAAAGAATGTAAGGTTTAGAGATAGGAGGAGGATAGAATAGGAAGAAAAGTAGGGGTGTTAATTTCTTCATCTTTCATAGAGGAAAGTAAAATGATACCATCTAAAACTGGTAGGCAAGAAATTGAGGTTCTTTTGTGGGTAACTTCCCTTTCCTCATTCTTTTTTCTTGTCTCCTTCCTCTTAAATTATAAACACCAGAGATTGTCAAGGAATGGCCTTAAGCCCTCATTTCATTTCTTCCCATGGTCACCAAGTGACCTCACCACTACAATGGAGTTCATTAATAGGTGTAACATAAACACACATGAATATAAAACAAGAATACTTCGAAGTAGTTCAAATGAGGAGAGTACTTCTACTTCACTTTACATGCTACTGTACTAAGTTTTTCTTATATATTCATATACTTTTGTATACAAATATGTATATGGAAGGTAGTCTGGACAGCTATATAGCAAAATGTTCACTGTGATTACACAGAACTGCCAAGTACAAGTAAATGGCAGAGAAAGATAAGCATTTCACTTTTAACCAATAGACTAATCTATTGACTATCTACTTACAGCAAGCAGGTATTCTCTTATAATACAATTATAAACTGCTTGTATCTCATACACATAATTTAAAGATTCAGAAAAAAAGAGTTCATTTAAAAATACTGCGCTATACACCACCCGAAGGATGGACATATTTGAAACTCGGACTTGGCGGGGGGAAGGGCAACATACGTAACCTAAACATCTGTACCCCCATAATATGCTGAAATAAAAAAAAAAAAATACTGCGCTATAGGATGCTTTACTACAAATTCAAATATTACCTCATTTTTTGTTTAGCTTTTTCGAAAGTTTCCAAATTTTGAAGAACATGCCTTTCTGGCCACTCCAGAGGATTGGTTTCCATTAGACTTGAGGAATCAGGTGCTACTGGACTAGAATCTAAAGAGAAAGAAATACACATAAGTAGTGAAAAGTTTTAACATACTGAATTTTTTTATACAAAAATGCATATTTATAGACAGATACATGTGTGTGTGTGTGTGTGTGTGTGTGTGTGTGTG